GGGTCATCTTTGTAATTAGACTGGATTATTTTAGCCCTTTGTTACAAACTACTCCATATAAGGTAGTTAGTCACTGGAGTCTGCATATGCAACTTTGTGTTTCATTATCACATCAATAGATTTACATTCTTCAGTTTACTCTGCTTTGTTGTCTTTCTTAAGTGGGCTGCGGTGGAAACAATATTACCACACAATGCTGCATGTTGACAGCAATGCAGAAAACATGTGGTATCCAGCCTCCATATTAGGTTATGTCTTACATGAAGTATTGTCAGATCAGTAAAATAATTGTTCGGAAGGATTCTATGAGGTCCTTTGATCCCACTCTTTAATGCCAAGTTAACATAGCAGACAACCAATGCAACAATATCACGGGATAGCTCACAACCCATTCACAACTTCACAACTGTTTGCGGGTTCTCATCTCACCAGAAGTCATGTCATCAATTCTTCTGAAAATAATAAACAGTCCTGAGGTAATATTTTGCATTTATACAAATTGATTTGAGAGAGTGAAAGGCAAAGGTGAAAGATATGCATGCTGAAGCAACTTCATGTCCATAAGAATGTCACAGATGTGAAAAGCAAAATAATCAAGGCACTTCCAAAGCATTCGGTGACCAGGCCTTTGTGGAGCAATTGTTTATTGATCACATGTGTATTCAACTGTAATTAAAACCCTTGAAACAATTAGGTGTAGAACCAACTGAATGAATCAACTGTAATTAAATCAATTCTCTCATTGTGTTTTTAACCTAATTCAACAAGCCAGGAAAAAAAAAAAAAAAAAAGGTCGGCCAGTTTCTACTTTGTATGAGGAACATTTGAAGCTGCTGGAAGAACTGTCGTATGGCTTTTATTAACGCTATCAGTACATTATACCATACATAAGTAGATTAAAAAAAATACTCTCATGACCTGTATGAATTTCTTTTTCATTGTTTTTGTCCATACAATGAAAGTCAGTGGGGTTCTTCAAAACAACTTTGTAAAAAAAACAAAAAGGTATATGATGCTGATAGAGTGAATAATGACATATTTATTTATTTATTTATTTGAGAGAACTGCCCCTTGTGAGAAAGCAATGCACGTAATTAATTTAGTTATCACTTGAAATCTTCAAATCTAGCATATCTAGTATATATGTTTAAAGTGTACTTGCAAATAGATTAATATTAATGAGATAAAAGGCCACTTTTACTTAGAGTACACTAACATAATGTAAATGTAATGTTTTAAAGTCATTATTACAAATGTGTAATTACAAATACGTAATTATGTCGTAAGGGTCTTTTTTTCAATTGGGATTTATACATCTGCAATCTGAATGAATAAGCTTTCCATTGATGTATGGTTTGTTAGGATAGGACAATATTTGGCTGAGATACAACTATTTGAAAACCTGGAATCTGAGGGTGCAAAAAAATCAAAATATTGAGAAAATCACCTTTAAAGTTGTGCAAATGAAGTTCTTAGCAATGCATATTACTAATCAGAAATTAAGTCTTTATATATTTACAGTAATACATTTACAAAATGTCTTCATGGAACATGATCTTTATATTCTAAAGATTTTTGGCACAAATGAAAAATCAACAATTTTGACCCATAAAATGAATTGTTGGCTATTGCTACAAATATATCCTTGCTATGACTGGTTTTGTGGTCCAGGGTCGCATATATTTAAATACACGACATACACGTTTCAATATAAATTACAAAGTATATTTTAGCTTACAGTGAATGCTTGTCTGTACATAGATTAGACAGTACACTTAACCATATTTCAAAGATAATATATAATAGATAATTATGAAATTACATATAAAGATGCATTTAAGACGCGTTTAAGTCCTACTTCTGTGGGTCAAAAAAAGCACTCTTTTGTTCAACAAATTGTATTTAATATAAATTGAAACTATAATAAATTTTCACTTTTTCAACATGTAAACAACATGCAAGTAGTGTCCGAAAACATTACATTCTGTTTAAACCATATTCTTTTTAAAGTATATCATTTACAAAAGTACTCTTTTTAAAAGTATGCTAAAGTGTACTCCTTTTTCACGAGTGACCACTTTAAGCCTCCTAAATAAACAGAACTGTACATTTGTGTCCATGAAACCAATTGCTAGTTCTTAAGTCCTCTAGGCGAACCTGTCTAGACCTTATAAATATCATTTTCTTGGACACTTCTTACAGGCTTCTTACTGTCACGGTGCACACACACGAGGAACGAGGAGACACTGGAGAATACTTTAACAAGGCTTTATTTCCATGAACCAAGGGAGACGAACTCAGGAAGACGTTTAACAGCAGACAGAGAACTCGGGACTGGGAACACTTTAAATACACAGAACAGGAAGATGGGATGACATACACTATTGTCACAATGCACTTAGAGGAACGAGGAGACGCTGGAGAATACTTTCACAAGACTTTAATTCCATGAACCAAGGCAGACGAACACAGGAAGACGTTTAACAGCGGAGAGAGAACTAGGGACTGGGAACACTTTAAATACACACAGGAGGAGGGGATGACGAGACACACCTGGGAGCAATGAAACATCAAGGGAAACACCTGGGACAAATTAACTTAATCAGGACAGGAACAGGAAACTAACCAAATAAGGGCATAGGAAGGCACATGGGGAGCAAGACACACACAAAACATGGAACAGAGTCTGACACTTACACTTTAAAATTTCATTGATATCTCGCGTTTGTTATGAATTTTGATGAAGTCTCTTTTATTTGAGACTTACATCCTGGGACAAGGATGTGAAGAATAATGAGAAGGGCTGTGAATTGTGTCAACAAAAAGCTAATAGAGACCAATTAAGATGATGGATATCTAAAATGAAAACAGCAGTGATCTTTTTTTTTTTCGTTGGAGTTGAGCCTTAATTGGCCAGGTTCTCAAAAACCTTTTAAAGTGAACACGTATCAGACTTGTATCAGTACAATGGTTCAAAATAAATACACATGTCAGTGAAGTGGATGGAAAAATGTGTGGGAAAAAAATAAAGTGCTTCTACTTGTCATTGCATAAGCCGCATCTTCTCTACTGAGAACCAGGAATCTCTGTGTAAGGCCATTTAGAATACAGACCTACAATGTACCACAGCTATTAAAGGGTGAAGTTCTCACTAATCCAGGTTCATTGTAAAAGGGTCTACTGTGTATATCTGCACTGCAGATGTAAAAAAAAAAAAAAAAAAGTTTAGTCTTATAAATTCTTGAAACAAGAAACTTCAAATGCGTGCTGAAAATAAGTAAATGGATTAAATTTGAAGAAACCCATTAGGGAGTACCATGATATTCTCACAAAAATAGCTTTATGTGGACAGCAGCTTCCCCAGGCAAGTCTTATTCTTCAAAAGGGTCTAGGAGTACCTGATTTTCCTAAATTTTTAGTCAATTTTGTGTGTATCATTAAAGCAGGATGCATATAAAAGATTTTTGTTGAGACGTGACTAAGCAATCATATTGCGAGGACAATCTGGAGAAAATGTGCTCAACATGACATTGTGAATTGCATCAGCATCAGCTCAAGGTTTACCTTGAACACCTGCAGTAATCCTTTCTCTCACTGCAAATATTACAATACAATTCCATTTCTCCTTATATAGCCTGAGGTACAATTCTTCCATCCTCTCTGATTTTGTGTTTGACCACAGCAATACAATTATTGTTATTATTATTATTATTATTACAGTTGTTGTATCATATATTGAAATTGTTATGCCACAATATTACTTATTCATAACTTACTTTAAATAAATTAGAAAGAATTTAAAGAATTAAGTGGTAATTAATTGAAAGAACTATCGTTAAAATATTTAGTAATTTATAAGAGGGCTTTATCTATAACCTTTACTGGATCTACTGCTCTGATAAAAGCAGCTTGTGTGTGCATATAATTTCTTCCATTATTCCAAGGAATCAAAGTTGGTGCCGTAAGTGAGTTAAGAATTAAGATGGAAGTATGGAATTATAACAATTATTTTCATGCTAATTATCCTTTATCAATACCTTCTTTACAGGTCTGCTAATTTTTGGCCATCTGTTGTACTAATAAGCCAGTCTGGAACTTCTGCTTCTGGCATCTAACCAAAGCTAGTTTTAAATCTGTGCGATTTATTGTAAATTTTAAGGTAAAGGTTGAGAATGTGAGTACTTGAGATGGCTGACTAACACTTTAGTGCTTGAGTTATGAAAAGCTTATTACCAGATGAACAAGTACTGCCCCCATCTGGTTGGTTTTTACCATCGTTCTTCCAGTTTAATTTGTGTACAGATATGACATATTCTGTAATAAATTATGGCTTAAATGTTTTGTACAGGCTGATCCTTCTTAATAAGACAGAATATTCTGCTCCAAGGAAACTAAATTATGCTTAGTTTTTCATCAAATATGATGGGACCAAGACACCACAAGAATAATGTGTTTTGTAATGCAGATGAGACATTTATAAATAATAGACAATTACAGAAATTATCTTACCAAGACACCACCATGTAGTGAAGTCATTAAATGCACAACTTTGCTTCCAGAATGAGACTTTCTGACTCCTGAGTGAAAATGAAGAGCGCATTAGGAATTTTAATAACTGTATGCACAGGGTGCATTGAAACACTAACACTTGCTATCTGTAACTAAATACAACAATGTATTATTATTTCATTTACACTCTTATTGTGTGCAATTTGAAACTGTGCCTACATAAAAAGAGAATGGTTTTGAGAACTTAGTTTAGTGCATGAAAATTCACTGAAGGATAAAGTAAAACTCTGCCATGACACTTGATAATTCTGTTTCTCTTGCTTACATTGCATTCATATCATACTGCAGAAAATAAACTTTCTTTTAACAATGTATGTCAGACTAGTATCAGATTGGATAAAGTGATCTGCTGTTCAACGAGCCATAAATACATTTAGAATTTAGACTTGGATAAATATAGTTCAGAAAAGCCCACAGTGATGACAGCACATCACCAACAAAGGCAGTTGCATCGCTCAGTGGTTGTTCTTAATGTTCTGTGCTTCTGGGAGACAAACACTTACAGACCAGGTAAGAAAGCCAGGTTTTCATAGCATTATTTTAATGTAGTCTATATATCAGAAAATATAGGTTTGACATCACTAAAATGTTTTGAAATTTCCAAAGCCAATCGCATCAAGCAGTTTAGGTTTGGAGTTAAGTTATAACATTGTGTTCAAAAGTCTTAACAAAAAGTGAAACAATTGATAATTTGGGAAGTGCAACATCTCACGTGTTATATATGACATACAACACAAACATATTTATAAGTACAACATGCTTATTTCAATTCTTGGATTTTTCATTTGACATCAGTATGACGCTGCTATGGAAGATCTTATTGGGAATCTTTCTCATTGGACGACTCAGTCAAAGTCAAGACCTTCTAGAGGAGAATAAAGAGCAGACAGTGTTGGATGAAGGGACTGAGGGAGGGGAGGACGTGGAAGAGCCTGAGGGTCTGGGAACAGATGTCAGTCAACCTGATCATAGACAGCCGTGTGCCATGTGGATGGGAGGTGTTCCTGGCACACCTGGGCACAGTGGAAAACCTGGAAGAGATGGCAGAGATGGGCGTGATGGACCGAGGGGTGAGAAAGGAGATAAAGGTTAGAGTAAGCTCACTTTATACAGTTTGGAACTTTGCTAGATCCTTTGTCTGAAACATACAGTGCTTCTGACTTCTGTAAGTGGCATCTGTGAACAAATAATTATAGACCCCCCCCCCTCCTTTTTTTCAGAATGATATGAACTTTCCTTAGCGATTTTTGCAATTAAGTCAACCTGATCATAGACAGCCGTGTGCCATGTGGATGGGAGGTGTTCCTGGCACACCTGGGCACAGTGGAAAACCTGGAAGAGATGGCAGAGATGGGCGTGATGGACCGAGGGGTGAGAAAGGAGATAAAGGTTAGAGTAAGCTCACTTTATACAGTTTGGAACTTTGCTAGATCCTTTGTCTGAAACATACAGTGCTTCTGACTTCTGTAAGTGGCATCTGTGAACAAATAATTATAGACCCCCCCCCCCTCCTTTTTTTCAGAATGATATGAACTTTCCTTAGCGATTTTTGCAATTAATTTTAATTAAATTTTCAACATGTAATCAAAATTTCTCTCTTAATTTTCTTAATGTTACTGGTGTTGTTTTTGTGAATGATTCATGTTGCTCCATGTCTGAAACCACCTTTTATCTTGGTTTCAGGTCTTTACCAATGACTTGTTACACAAAGCTATTTAAACAAACTCTTAGTTTCAGAGTAGGTTTAGAGTTGAAAAACAAACAAATCCAACCCAATTTAGATGAGGCCTGTACCATGAAGCTAGTTGAACAAACTCAGGGTTACAGGACACACAAAACCAAAACCAATCCAACCAGGCTTTGTCGGTACCATTACACTAATCATCAGCTTTTCTTGTCAGCTCAGGCTTTGATCCTAGAAAATACTACCAAAACCAGCTTTGTGAAATAGGCCACAAGAGATAAGGGCAGTGTAAATAATGTTATCCAATAATCAAACATTAAACATAAATGTTTAAATAGTATTTTCACTTGACATCAGAGTGTTGATGTGCAGAACACATACAGGCAAGCTTTACAGACTGAAATAAATAAATACATTAACTTAAAGTAAAAATTGACTGAAAACAAAATGTTTTTGGTTTTATCTAAATAATAATTATTTATCGTATGCTGATTAAGCTTTTGTTTATGGTGAAATTAAGTTGTAAAAAGCCATTGATATAGGGTACACTGAAAAAATGGGGAAACCACACTTATTGACAAATGCGCTCAATTATATGATTTGTAATCTATAAAACTAAACTGTTTATCTTTCAAAGTGGAACTTCAGTCAGTGTTGATGCTATGGGAATGCCTCCGGTGTTGCTGGTATCTGAAGCATGTGTGCAAATACGCCAGTTCAATTGGCTGATGGCAGTGACATGACAGAGCATGACGTAAGCAGTGTCATAAAAGGTCACATATTATGGAATCCCCAGCATCTTTGTCTTCAGGAAGCCATTTGTCTGTGTGTGCATGTGAAAATCTCGACCTCTGTGTGTGTTTGTTTGGAATAGAAAGGGTCTGTTTCAAAGCAAAATGGAAAGGAGGTTTAGAAGATGTCATGCCATGTGAAAGATTACACCAGGTGACACACAGGATTTGTATCATCTGCCTAGGAGTGTAACACGCTCAGTCAGCTCTCAAGGGAGCTGGGTGTGCTCACAGTGAGGAAGCTCTTCTCCTGCCCGGCTCTCTTTTAGGGGGATGGGCGGTGACTTCGTTAATAGATTAGAAGATGGAGCTGCCAAAGGAGCTTGAAGCAGGCTTGGCCTTTTCTCAGCCATCCCTCGCTAGCTCCGCTGTTCTCATGCCTGATCTGGAAGCCCGCTTGGTGGCCTCTATGATCTGGCGAAAAGCATGCTATTGGCCCAGTCTAACTCTGAGGAGCTAGATGTTTTGGGAAAAGAGGCAGAAGAATCCAGTGAGCTCGCCTCCTCCCTTGACCCTGCTTACAATGAGTTGGTTGAGATTATGGCCCACAACTTGGCCAGGCTAAAGTTATACTGATTGGCGGAGAGATGAATCAGCTCCCAGCAGGCTTGATAAGCTTCCTCACAAGCCATAAATGCTCCCCACAGTGAGCCATTTCTCCTCTATCCTTACCAGGAATTGGTGAGATTGTGGGAGAAACTGTACTCAGCCCGTGTTCTTGCCTCTTCTACATCCAGTTGCATTTTCATGAAAGGCACCCACCTTGCCCTCAAAGCCCTGTCAGACTACATCAAGGCTCATGGCCAAGGCTTACACAGTGGCCAACAGGCTGGTGGTGCCGTGCACACCATGCTGTTGTTGCAGGCCTATCAGGCCCAACTTTTGAAGGTCTTTACCCTTTGTGCCGCCAGGTAGGTAGGCCGGGCCACAGAGCAACATCTGTGGCTTATCCTTTTAGGGCTCAAAGAGTAAGAAAGATCTTTGCTCCTTGATGCCCCAATCACACATTTTTGTCTTTTTGGCACCACCTTTGAGACTGTGGTCCAGAAGTTAAGGAAGGGCGAAGGTTATGTCGGCGGCATTTGAGCTGCACATCCCGTGCCATGGTCAGGGTCCTTCAGTCCTCTCCTCTGACTCTGCTCATATAGTCCCAGCTGGAGACAGGGTCAGAAAACAAGCATTGCAGCCCAGACCCTGTCTCTGAGGAGTCGTGTTTGAGGTGGCAAACTTGTACGAAGCCCATGAATGATCTTAGGGAAGTAAGACAACAAAAGCCAAAGCACTAGGATCCTTCCAGGCTTCTGATTCTGATCTTGTAACAACCTATTTAATTGAGTTGTACGACTGCTAAAGTATATAATTATTCTATTTTTTGCAGGTGAAGCAGGTGAGAAAGGAGATCCTGGACAGAAAGGAGACATTGGCCCTGCTGGACCAAGAGGCTTTCCTGGGAACCCAGGTCTGAAAGGGGCCCTTGGTGAAAGTGCTTTGTCTTACCATTCAGCCTTTAGCGTAGGTCTGAGTGAGCTTGTTCCCACCACCAATGTGCCAATCCGCTTCAACAAGTTCTTCTACAATGACCAGCACCATTATGATGACGTTTCCGGAAAGTTCCGCTGTGTTGTGCCAGGAGTGTACTTCTTTACTTATCATCTCACCGTCTACACTAAAGATGCAAAAGTCAGTCTCTACATGAATGACAAGACCATCATGTTCACCTTTGACCAATACCAAGAGGCCAACGTGGATCAGGCATCAGGTTCTGTTATCTTGCGTTTGGAGGCAGGAGATGAGGTATGGCTGCAAGTCTATGGAGATGAGGCATTTGGGGGAGTGTATGCAGATAACACCAACGACTCTACCTTCTCCGGTTTCCTCCTGTATCCTGATATTCCTGCATCTGCACGGAGACGTTGACAATACCTAAATGAATTAATTTGGTTATTTTTAGCATTGGGAGATGTGATTCAGTTTTGCACCAAGCTATAGTTATGAGGTTCAGCAAAGTATTGCATGTCATTTGAAATCCATTTTTATTGCTGTTTTACAGAGCTTCAGACATAATGAATCTGCTTTTGTTCTTGAATGCCTGTTTGAGAATAATAGTATAGTATGTTTGCTTCCCTATAATAACTAAGTTCTAGGGCTGCACGATTATGACAAAAATCATAATTGTCAATTATTCCCTTGAAATTGTAATTGCGATTATTAATTACGATTATCACAATTTACATTGAATGATGTTTATACCATTGTTTGATGCAACTGCATGCCGTATTTTATATGAAAATAAACAAGCTGAAAACACTCTAACTGAAAAACTTTTTGTGCTTTTCAATAGTATTAAGCCTCAAATGTCAACTATACATCGGATTGGTTTCTTCTTTAAATTATATTAAAAAACGTAAACATATGAATGGTATTATAATGTTATACTAAAACTAAAATGAAAACAATGGAAAACCCCTTAAGATAACATGTAGAAAGAAAAAACGCATCTTAAGCACACAGAATAACATGTGGACTTTGAACGATTAATTGCCGCTTTGAACGGTTACGTAATTGTGGCATCCATAATTGTAATCGCAATTAGAAATTTGATTAATTGTGCAGCCCTACTAAGTGCCAAATGATTCAAAATTGATGATGAGTTGCCAAGTTTAGAGGTATCCCCTATAAAATCAATCAAAATGTTACCAGACCAAAATTATTATTTTTTTATTTTTATTTTTTTACCACTAAGCATTCAGCTGCATCTTGGACAGTGATTTCAATTAATATATAGACATTTCTATTCTGTTTTTCAACCTTTTTTCAACTTCACTTATTTATATTTTTTAAAACTTACTGTATCATATTCAATACATGAATTTCTAAGGCCTCTATATTGTCAGCATGGTTATTTAGCCTAGTTGCCCTTTGTCGTCTGATTGATAGTTAAACGATTACAGCTAAAAGGCTTTTCATAATATATATTTTTTTAAATCCTCCTTCAGGTCATGGAACACATCTTGCTGTGTGCTTCAGGCTTTTGAGAAATGGTTATTTGTACATCTCTCAATCATCTATATGCATTGCATTTGATGTTTTGCCCCCCACAAAGACTACATACAGATACATACATATAGATTATGCTTTAATGTTTGATATCAGATTATGCAAACTTTGAAATAAATTTGTCTTTAAAAAATATATATATTTTTTTTTTTTGCAGGCCAAAATCATTGACCAAAACAATGTTTAATTCTTCAATGTCATGTTTCATAACGTGCACGCAATGTGGATAAACTACAACAGGTAAATGTATCAGCGTAGTCAATGCTGTTTTCAGCTGATGCGTGAATTTCACTAAACAATATTTATAGCACCTGTCATCCAATGTCAATCACAATAAGCTTTGTGCTTTGTTACTTTTAATTTTAAACAAAGTAGGCCCTATCAGTTTTCAAGTTCTGTCAATTTTATCATGAAATAGAGGTGTGTGGGGCACAAACTAACGCAGGGTTAGTAACAACCATGGTTTAAAGATTTCCACACATGCTAACATAACAAAATTTACAGTATTTACTAGTTGCCATATCAACACTATCTAAAGAAAGAAATTGTGCCAAAATTCATAATCTTTTGAAGATATCGCTGAACATTTATTTAACTATAGCAAAAGTACGTTTCTGGCTGAAGTAAATTTTTCATCTCAGTTTTTAGTGTTTATTTATCATGAGTCAAATCTGCTATTATTTTAATCTCCAATTTGTTATTTAGCAGTTTAGGAAGTTATTTAAAGCTTTGCTAACTAGCAAAAGACACTAACCAGTGTTAAATTCCAGTTGTGCAGATGGGGAACGTTGTAACACTGCATGACAATGTGCCCGCTATTATTAAAACTATGCTATACTATAGATTAGTGATGTAATTTACACTAATTATTTTCATGAATGTTAATGAAAATCCATGTGAAACAAGTGAATAAAGAATGATAGTCAATGTTCAATGTTCAGGAATTATTATTTCAAGAAATGTAAAGCAGTTTGGCTCGTCTATTTGTATTGTGTTCATTGTTAAACTTAAATGAATATATATATGTTGTCGCATTTCACTTCCATTATTTTGGGGTAAATAAAGAAAAAAGTATACACTGTAAATATGAAACAAAACCACATATTTGTACTAGACAAGTGTGACATTAATGTGGGAAAAAAAGTCAAACTCAGTTCCTGGAGGGCCACAGCCCTATAGAGTTTAGCTTTAACCTCAATTAAATGCACCTAATACAGCTAATCAAGTCTTAGAAGTATTTGAAAACTACCTAACCAAGGAGCAAGTGGTGGTGTGTAGGTGTTCTGTCTAGAAAGCATGTCAAAACTTCACGAAGCACAATCAGTGAGAACACACAATACATTTGACCAGTCTGTGGGAAGTAAATTAAGCCCTCAAACGAAAGCAAGAGCACCCTCCGCTGAAGCTGTAATAATAGCATATTGGCTAAACAGATTTGGCAAACGCTCGAGTTCGTATTTATGTTTGCAGGACAGTGCCAAAGAGGTTTCTGTTTTCAACCTTTTTGCAATGCTGAGCAATGTAGCCAATCACAGACATAATTCCACTGACATGTGGAGTGGCATTCCGGAGACGTGACTGAAAGCCAAGTGTGGGGCATGTCACGTTTTGGAGATCTTGTCATGGACCCAGGAAAAAACGGGGCTAACTTTTGAGGGGTGGCTTTCTGCTTGTGGCCCAACTACAAGTACCACTAATCCAAGCAACTGTGAATGAGTTTGGCAGGAGGTGATCACTCTAAGTGGAGCTCCTCAATGGCCTTAGTCAATACCTTCAATACCTTACCGTCCACAGTGACAGGAGGCCTGCTCGTGTCACACTGAGGCACATTGTCATCCATGAGACTACTTTAGGACCAGTCTTCATTATTAGAAGGCACCGACATGGTCTTGTCATCATCATCAAAAGCACCAAAACGACACCAGCCCACTGGTCTCCGTGGAGGGAACAGACCTAAAGAATAACATATAACATATGCCGATATGGTGCTGTGAGTATTTAAGACATACTGCTGCTGCACAAATAGCATATAATAACCCAAAGCAGCTCTATACAGGTGGAGCTGGGGAAGGTGGAGGGTTTCAGAGGAACTCTGAAAGTGTGCTGTGAAATGCTCTAGTGCAGTGGTTTTCAAACCTGTCCTGAAGTACCCCCAGCCCTGCACATTTTGTATGTCTCCCTCATCTATCACACCTGATTCAACTCATCAGCTCATTAGTGGAGACTGCAAGACCTGAAGTGGGTGTGTCAGATATAGGGAGACATACAAAATGTGCAGTGCTGGGGGTACTTCATGGAGAGGTTTGAAAACCACTGCTCTAGTGCATACTAACCACCCATTTAAATGTAAAGCAGCAAGCTCATTGGTTGTGTATGCAACATGAACCAATCAGCTTGTGACAAGCTGTTTAATGCTATGAATATTATCAGTTTGCTTTATTGACCCATCAGCCTGAGCCATCTTGAGTTTCATGACAAAACTTCGCATTTCTTTTAAATCCCATGTTCTTCATTAGATATTTTACATAGAGTCCTTTAATTTGAGGTTGTAGAGGATTGTCCTGGCATAACTGTTTCCATGAAAAAAATAAAATAAAATAAAAATGAATGAATGAATGAATACATATTTTATTTTAACATTTTGTTTTATTGTTTTAATTAAAATATAATTAAAGAAATGTTACATTTGTACTAAAATATTTTGGAGTTATACAGTGCACATCTGTTAAATGAAAACTATGAAGTGAACAGAATTACATTTAAAAAAGCTTCTTATGTAATTTGAGAACTGATAGCTTCAACAACTGTCTCTGGATATTCTAGTGGGACCTGATTGTTCATTACACCACCTTGTGTCTCATATCACACCACAGACTTGCTTTCTCTTGTTACAACCCAACTGGCGCCATGCGTCTCCCTTATTGATTGCACTGAACATGAAAGTATAATATTAATATTAACCTACTGTATATTGTTACAACATTTGTTTTGTCTTGTCAGGATTTATTTTTTAATAATAACCCACAGACAGTGCATTATCATTTTACTTATGAATGCACATCAAATGCAGATCCAGAGTTCAATCAGATCTGTATTGGTCTGCAAGCAATGAATGGATTGTCAAGAGTCTTCCATTGGCCACTGTCCAGCCCCAGCAGCTGTTGCATGGTCTAATTTTATGAATTTATTTTTAGTCTAATTGGTAAGGACACCGGGGTGCAACAAGATCTCTTTCTAAAACTTGGCCCTGATTTGCAAGATTAATTTAAGTATGCTTAAAGAGACAATTCACCCATGAATTAACTCTTGTCATTTATTCACTTTCATATTGTTTCTTTTCTTTATTTATTCTGTGCTCCAGTCTCTATTCTTAAAATTGCACAGAAAGAAAGAAAGAAAGAAAGAAAGAATTAGTACACACTGATACTTCAAAATTTACCTGAAGTAAAGTACGTCATGTACAGTTTGTAAGAACATGAGGGTGATTAAATGATGACAAAACTTCCATTTTTGAGTCAGTTATTCCTTTAACTGACTGTGTTGTTTGATCATACTGTGAAAAGTATGAATTTTATTTATCTGAATTTGTCTCTTGAAATGGTTTGTTGTATATTGAATTCACTATGTAGCGTATATGTTAGAATACTGAAAGACTGTACAAATAAATTATTTAACATTAAAGTAATAATGTAGGGGTAATGTCTGGAATATAATCTCCTCATATAGTGGAGTAATATGAGCAGTGCTGATTAGAAATCCCTCTTATGTCTAGACCAGTCTGACCTTGAAGCACTCACACATTGGTTTCATTATATTAGTGAAGACATCTCATAAACTTCCATTGTTTTAAATTAGGTTATTGATATTTTCTTTTGCCTATAACTCGACACCTACCTCTAAACATAACCCTCACAAAATTTTAATATTATTAAATAGAAACGATATATCGATATATATCGATTTAATATCGATTTAAATAGAAACATCATTTGACCAATTTCTTTGGGTAAGGACCAGTTCACTAGTTTGTGTTTAAAGGCATAGTTCACACACACACACACGGGCGCGCGCACGCACGCACACCAATAAATTTGCTGTTAATTTACCCACCCTCAGGCCATCAGACCAGATGTAGTTTTTT